AATAGTTGTTCCATCTTGTATTCTAGTTCAGGTTCAATCCCTTCATCTTGAAAAGATTTAAAATTAACATTTTCCTACAAAAAAATATAAAATATATCAGCTTTGACCATTTTCATGATACTTTAAAGTAAAAATAATATTTAAATTAACTGACCTCAATTTTTTTTTCCCACCACTCGTCACTAGCACTTATTGTTCCTTTTTCATGATCCCATCCTAGTCCAGTTTCCTTTCCTTTCAGTGCTTTCCAGAGACTCCATCTATTTCTCATCCAATCCCATTTATTTTTAAGTTTGTTCTTGCCATATGCTAAATTAGTTCTTTTTTGAAACTCAGCCTCTAACACCTTCCATGGCATTCTTTGTGAGATTGTTGCACCACGTTTTCCTTTACTTTTTTCCTCATATTCGATGCACATATCACAAAATAAATACAAAGTTTCTTTTGACCAACTAGCCCGAGTCACATCTTTTCCCCCAGCTTTGCTTTCCATATCAATGTTCGTTCTCATATTTGATGTCATCTATTATATGACAATAAAAGAAACCAAACAATAATAATAATAATAAAAAAAANTACTAAGTCAAGTGAGGTGAATAATATTTTAGAAGAAGCAAGAACCGATTACTTGTATAAACATAAATACATAATGAAAAGGGAGGTACCAGAATGAGAACCACAAAAGCACAGTAGAACATAGCCAAAGACACTAAGAATTGCAATAAAAATAAACAACAGAAAACACTTATAGTTTCCACATCTCACCATAACCACATATTTGACACCACCCAAATCAAACTATTGTCTACACATCACATTAACTCAAATTAAGTTCTCATGTTGATCCAGAAAATAAGGATAAGAAAAACTGAATTCACAAAACAAAGTAATATATATATATAAACCAGGAAAGAAAAATTAAAAAGAATGGAGACAAATCAAACTCCGAAAGAATCATACTGCACATAAAGTTGGGATATTAACTAAACTCCCACTCGGATATATCATTATTCCATCTCGATCATGACTCGTCAAACAGAATGCTAGGTACAATATCAACAATTCTTCTTTGGGGGACAATTTTGATCATTATTATTACTATTATCAAAGTTTAGCCTTCTTTTAGAGCCTCTTTGGATGTGACGGCGGTCGAATCATCAACTGAAATCCAACTCGACTTATAGCAGATTTCGGGGTTTTTAGACACATTGAATCATATTGAAATCACAAATCATATATATATATTTCAAGCACACATGACATAAAAATAAAATTAAAGAAAAAAAAATATTAAAATTACCTCTTCAAGTTTCGTGGAGGAGAATCACCGAAGATGAGCGTCGGGGTGAAAAAAGGGAGAGCAAGATGAAAAATATGGAACCCTTACGTTGATGAGATTTTTTGTGAATCCTCTATCCCAAAACGTTGCTCAAATGAGCTTTTTCTAAATTAGAGTTTTGGGCCCAAAAAGCTTATCAAATAAGCTATTTACCAAACAAGCCCAATAGCGGATTTGACGGGTCAAACCTCTTAATTAAGTCCAATCCTCTAATTTATCTTCAATCCGCTATCTACCAAACGATGCCAATTGTTTTTATTGGTTGCACATCTTTTTCCACATGCACTGATTGGTGATTAATGAGAAGCATTAGATTGAATTCTCTTATAATTTTTTCAAAACAAGAGAACAAAAACGTCAAATGACAAAATTAGAGTGAATAAGCGCACCAAGTAAAAAGTCAAAAAGAATATTTGAGTTTTGACACAAAACATAAATGGGAACACACACGTACTTCACATAAAACGAGTCAATGACAATTCTTTAATTTTAAGTCATTTAAGTGTTATCACAATCCTTGTGGTACTTGTGTATATATTTGATTATAGAATTTTAACTACCGAAATATTTGCAAGAATTAATCTTGCTATCACTAGGAAGACTGGTGCAATATGACCGCATATATTACCAATATTATTATATCTATATTGAAAAAAAAAAAAGATGAAGGACAAATTGTTACAATATTGACTATAATTTGTGGAAATAGTCAACATTGAGTTCATCTTCAACATATTAATATAAATCAGAATATGTTAGCATGTCATTAGGTGTAACCAACATACTTTTTAGTAAATTAATAACAAATATCATCGCTTGAGAAACAATACACTTTAACTTAAATATATCATAATGAAAAAATATGTATTTTCATTGAAAAAATATGAAAGATATACGTAGTGAGCACACAATTGCACCACATCAAACCAATGACTAGAATATTTTTATATGTATTTTCAATATTGAAATAATATGGAAGATATACAATTGCACCTAAGACTATAAACGAGCTGAACCAATTTCAAGCTCGAGCCCTTAACGAGCTGATCTCGAGCCTTAACAAGTCGAACTATAAAAAATTATATAAAAATTCTCTTTTCGAGCTTTAACGAGCCTCATCGAGCCGAGCTTTAACCAAACGAGCTTTAAATGAGCTCGAGCTCGGCTAATCCATGTGAGACCAGCGACCTCAGATCATCCTAGACTTATGTGCTGGAATAGCTTCGTTATGAGTTGAAGCAGCCTCAGCTACTATTCCTACTAAGGCGGGTCCCATATTCGAAATAAGAAAATCAGCCCGAGAGCTAAAGCCCTAAACTGAGAGCTACGATTAAGGCCTCGAACTCGAGGGGAGCCGAGCCAAACTCGTTTAATTTAACAGCACTAATTGCATCACATCAAACCAATGACTATAATAATTGACAAACGCTAACTTTTATGTTGTGATGTTTACCTAAAAAAATGTAAAGTTAAACTTTAAAGTTATTTTGACATTTTCTTGTAGTGATAACCGTCCGCATATTTTTATTAAAAGTATCATATTAAAATAAAATATATAAATAAATTATAACATTTAATATTATAAGTACGGTTTTGCTATGGAGTAATCGGATGGCTCGGTTTATGGAGTCATCCATAGTTTTCCACAAATGGTGTATTAACACGTGCAATAAATACACATTGGACACGTGTCAATATATAAAGATATAGATGGCGTGTCCAATGGCTGCATAGACTTTCTTATTATCAGTATATAATCTATACTTATATAAAAAGAATTACTATTTATTAAATATAGCAAGCAAAATAAATTTCAAAATTTCTAAATAAGAAAGGGATAGAAGTTTAAATAAAATATGATTTCTTTAAAAAAAAAAAAAAAAAAATCTTTAATTCAAATTCAATTGTTAACAATTTCTTAATAATTTTCATGCAAATCTTTAATTCAAATTCAAATGTTAACAATTTCTTAATAACTTTCCTACAAAATTGCCCGCATAAATAATGATAGATATGAAATTTAGCAGTATTCAAAAGTTAAGGAGTAATTCAAATTGTGGAGAATTTAAAATGGTACGAGTTTGCATCATTCATTTTAGTAAAAAAAAAAAAAATTAAATGAATTTTATTAAAAAATTAACTTCATTTACTTAACTTGCACTAATTATACTGTCCATGCAAAGAAAATAAAAACACAATTATATTTATGCAATTAAAAAAAGTGTATGCTACAACATTGGATATTAATCCATACATCATAGGTACTCACTTAATAAATCTTCACCACATCATTTGTTGGAATAAAAAACTTAATAACGAAAAAAATAAAATAAAATTGGGACTATGTTTACTTGAAAGACTATCAACAAGTGTACAGATTTTTAAATTCATTTTCAAATTGAAACTTTAACTTCGTACTCAAATTGAATTGAATAATATAATTTAATTAATGTAGGAGTTTCTTAGAAAAAAAACTATCAAGCAATTTGCATTGATTTTCAAAAACACATAAATACTGATTTCTAAAATTATGGGGATTGTTTACTTGATATAGATTATGACCACGTGTACAGATTTTAAAACCATCATGAAATTCAAATTGGAATAATATGATTTAATTAGAATTGTAGGAGTTTGTTAAGAACAAAAATTCTCTATGAGTTTGCATTGATTTTCAAAAAACAAATAAACACGGATTTCTTTTATAAAGAAATCATTTATTCGTATTTCATCATAAATCTCAAAGATGTGTACTTTGTTGATACGTGTTTGAATAAAAATCTTAATAACAACAAGATTTTAAAATCAATACATAAAATTGATAAATGAAGTATATGCAGCGTAGAATTGTTAAGTCTCCGTTTATTATACATTTGAATACAAATTTTGATAATGAGATTTTAAAATTATTATATAAAATTGATTAATGAAGCATATACATAAAGCATGGAGTTATTAAGCCTCCGTTTATTTTATACTCAAATTGATGACGAAATAATTTTCGGTATCATCTCAATATTTATTTTATATATAATATGTAACTCTTCTCTCAATTTTAATATTTTAGACATAATTTTTTTTATGTTCTTTATATAAGATAATTTTATATTGTTACAATAGACTATATAAAGTAAATTTTATCACATGTAACCCCACATCTTTAATTTATAATTATAATTAATATTGCTTATCCTAATATTTAGTTTATAATTAATATTAGTATTATTATTATTATTTTTTTTTTTGGTACAATGAAAGAGGCCATAAGCCTATATTAGGACTCGACGGGGATACGACACTCCAATAATATCATGCTCTGACCAAACTCCCAGAACCGAAGACGGAGAACCTACTCGCTGAAGGTTGGAATTATTAGTATTATTTACCCGTGCATAGCACGGCCTACACACTAGTTTTGTTAAAACGGTATGGGTCGACCAACATCTAGACTTAATAATTTATGATACATAAACAACATCCAATAAATTGGATTTCCAACATTAATTAGCCTCCACACAAGCATGCCAGATTGCCACATGCTATGCAATTATACTTATACCCAATTACAGAAATGTTGTTTAGAGCGTAATTAGTCAAAGATTTGGTATAATTACCTCTGACTACTTTTTAATTACGGCAACCCAAAAAATACTCTATATTACTATTATTTCACGAATTTAATAATATGGAAAAAGGATATTAGTAGATTCTGATTGCCAACATTAATTAAAAAGCAAAAAAACTCATCTCCATATCTCATTTTCCTTTCTTCCCCAGCTTCCCCCGTTACGTTTTCCTCCATTAAAAACCATAGCCTCCAAATAAATAAAACCGACATAAGACAAAAATTGCCTCGATTTTATGTATTTCTCAATCCGTTAATGGATTAAATGGATACGAAGGGTCCTCCGTGCGGTGATCAGTTTGTGTGTAAGAAATTAGGGGAAATTGAGGAAAAAGGAGAGGCTATGAGCGCGTGAGATGGAAGAATTGCCGGGGGCTTTGGGGACAAGTGCGAGCTTGGCTCTGAGATTAGGACAAGCCATCTTTGCAGTTGCTTCGTTGCTCTTCATGTGTTTGGGTGTTGAGTTCTATAGTTATACTGCTTTCTGGTAATAATTTCTTGTTTTTTTTTTATGATTATTATTGTTATTAATTTTGGTTGTTTATGACTGGGTTTGTTCTTGTTTTTTACTCTGTTTTTCTGTTGTGTTTGGTTTGATTTTGTTTTTGTTATTGTTATTGTGGAGTTGTGATTGATTGATTATCTGTTTGTGTTTGCATCTCTCTAGCTTGGGTGATCAATGGATTATTCAGATAAGAATTAATTTTAATTTCCGTTTTCTTAATTAAAAAAGAAAATAAAAAGAAAAAAATGGGGTTTTGATGATCACGATATAGATGAAATCAAAATTTTCGACTCCATTATTTGGTTTTTCGTCGGTGGAGAATGAAATGGTTGACAGCTACGTATTTTTTTGGGGTGGAAAATAGGAAAATAGAATGTGAAGGGGATGAAAATACAAATTCTAAAAGAAAAAGGGTGAGAATTTTGGGCTNTGAACATTTGACTGTGTCAATTTGTGAGGAGAAGACGAGTTCAAGTTTGTTCAGTCAATCTTTCCGTTGTTTTTAATTTTATTTCAGAAAATTGCTGGGAATAGTTTTCACATTCGAGCTAACACCTTCTATCAATCTTCCTATGTTCATAGTTAGCCTAACCGTTAGTTGAGTCAAACTTGTTCTGTATCATACTTATGTTTGTGTCGTTTTCTCTTTCAAGTGTGGTTGTGTGATGGTTTGGCTGCTTAACAATAGCTTTACCGTTCTTTTATTTGTCGTGTACAAGATTTTAGTTTTTGTTTGTCTATTATTTAACTTGACTTGATTGATAATTTGGCATCTTATGATTCCTTTACTAAGAATGGCATCAAATAACAAAGTAATTTCGTTACAACATAAACTTATTCTAAATACGAATCAAAACTATGCCCACGAAATTGGGATGATCTGTGTTGTTCGTTGGATTGGCATATAGTTTGTTTCTATTACTAAAACTCTTCGCATAGAAATTGAATTAAGCCCCTTTATTACAATCAATATATATTATAAAATTATTTCTGACATATGCAGCTTCTTGGTAACAATTATGGGCTTGGTGATCCCATGGAGCCTCACACTAGCGGTGGTCGACGTTTTCTCGATTTTCGTCAAACGTCCGGCTGGTCAACGCGGGGTACTGTCGATTGTCGTCATAGGAGATTGGGTAAAAATAATTTAAACCAGTTTTATTTTATTTTTTTCAATCGCAACTATTTCCACATATTTATTTATTTAACCCCTTAAGAACTATAACAATATCCCAAATCATTTATTTGTTTATTTATTTTTTTGGTACAATTGTAGGCTCTCTCGTTTTTGTCGTTAGCAGCATCGTGCTCGACGGCAAGTGTGACGAGCCTTTTGCTGGTTTCGGAAGGGTTTTGTGATGCAAAGCTATGTACAAGATACCAATTGTCATCTGCTATGGCTTTTTTGTCATGGTTTTTATCGTTAGCCTCGTCGCTATTCAATCTCTGGCTCCTGCCTTCGGTGTAGTTCGTGTTTGTGCAGTTTCCTGCAGTTTGTTAATTTTTTTTAGTTGCATAAATGTAGAAATTGACTGGGAAATCCCAGGGAGATTTTGTTTTTAAAAGAGTTCCAGTTTATACTTATTTGTTTCTAGTGGACTCTCAAGTGTACAGTTTTAGTCACATTGAAGTGTGAGGTTGAAGGTTTGTAATAAACAGGGCAAACATTACAGGCTTTT